ACCAGTCTTTTGCTGTCCCTTTCATTACCACAGCCAGTGATGCCAGCAGTTCTTTGTCAGGTAAAGGTCGAAGATTAATATACTCCTCAACTCTCTCAATAAAAACAACTGGATCGTCAACACTTGCATTGGTGAAACTGGGAAACTCTAATTTAACCGGCGGATTGTATGGTGCTGGTATAGTAGGCAGAGATATGCACTGTTGACTAGAATGAGCAGCTTGAATCGGTTTAATTTCTGTTTGTGCAGTTTTATGATGACTGACCGTTTTTGCAGACATGGGAGTAGATGAAAGTGGAAGAGCTTGAATCCTCTGATCTAGTTGTTTATCTCTCCTTTTTAGACAATCAACCATGCTCTGACCTAAATCAGTTAATCTACTGTCCATTTGCATTTTAATTCGATCAGTTTCTCTTTGAATTCGGTAGATAATTTTATCCTCAAGTTTTTGCATCATATTGGTCACGGTGTCTTGAATCACACAATCACTCACCCTATGTTCGATGTCACTAAGGTGTTCTTCAATGTTGGTTAATCGTTGCATTGTTGCCATTCCATTTGAATACACCTGCTCCTCCTCAAATTCTTCCGGTGGTGGAGGTGGAAATGGAGTGAAATCATCTGGATCGCCAGGTTGGTCTGGAAACAGCATTTGTACTGCTGATTTTTCTTTTTCTTCTTCTGAGTCGATATAAAGTCCACTAAAAGTGTCAATCATTTCATTCACCGGATCTCTTATCTGAATGAATGCATCACCGGAGAAATCCGCAATGGGTGCGATCTCATCCCTATCCATTTCAGAATGTTAGGATATTACACCACTAATAATTTTTAATTCCATTACTCTAAGTATGTGGAAAAACTGTTACAGAAATTTCACTCTGTTACAATACCTATGTGCACAAAATGCAGTCCAACAAAATTGCAAAGGAATTTTGACATGTATGTATGCTTCAATGCTAAATATAACCATTCTGACAGATGTTTAATTTTCTTTAATAAAAAAATAAAACCTGTCATGAGGTAGAGATTTCACTTGATTCAAAAATATAGACCATTTATTGGATATGTTGTCAATCACCTACACTTGAATAGAACAGTGGAAGCAATATGTCATTGAATTATAAAAATAGTTGTTAGTAATAATAATAGTACAGCTGCTAGGCCCCAAAGTCTGACAGCAAATTCAAACTAAAATCCAGTTTAAACTTGGAAATAAACAACATTTTGGAATTGTTTTGCGTAAAAGCTTTTGGTTTGCTTCAGTGATATCGAGACTGTCGACCTTTTTAGAGAGTTAAATATGTCTGTCTCTCTGCAGTTGATAGTTAACGCTGCTCTGGGATTCGACACGTTTGTGGTAATGAGACACGGCCTTAAGAAACCCAAAGAGTCTCAGTCTGAAGAGTCCAGCCCCATCTCTGCTTCCTCCAACTCCTCGTCTTCCTCCACACCAGCAGCCACCATCACACCAGGTACAGCTGAAACATGTGTTTTCCACAGCTTGTGTTGTTGTTTAGTTAAAGTGTGTTGTAAGAGCGATGTGTAAACACAGAACAGAGGTCTACAGTAAACCTCAAATGCAAAATGTCAAGTCATCACAGTTAAAGGAATAGTTCACCCAAAAATTAACACTAGCTGAAAATGTGCTCACCCTTAAGCCATCCAAATTGTAGATGAGTTTCTTCATCAGATTTGGAGAAATGCTGCATTGCATCAGTGTCTCAGCAATGGACGCTCTGCAGTGAATGGGTGCCGTCAGAATGAGAGTCCAAACAGCTGATAAAAACATCACAATAATTCACAAGTAATCCACAGCACTCCAGTCCATCAGTTAACATCTGAAGAAGACAAAAGATTAAACTAATCCAGCATTAAGATGTTTTTAACTTCAAACCGTTGCTTCTAATAACACTTGCATGTTTGTTATCCAGCCACATATTTGTTTAAAGCTATTCTGGACTGTTTAGTCTGCTTGATCTGTGCAGATTTCTCTCCTGATTCAGACCAGAACACTTTTTCACTGGAGGAAGCCTTATTATGGACTCGGCTTTTAGTTAAAATGCCGTAATAATGGATTTGTTTCTTACAAAACACTGCTTTTGGCTTCACAAGATGTTAATTGATGGAATCAAATTGTGTAGATTACTTTTTACCTGTTTTGTTTGAATTACAAAATTGGGATCACCATGCTTAAAAATGTCTTAAAAATCTACATTATATGTAGTGAATATAATAGTTCTTTTTTGTTATTATTATTTCTAGTTCTCTAGTCTTTTTTTAGAGCTCTGCTCTGAAGTACCAGAGTCTGTTTGTTAAGACTGTCCACCTATGACTCCCTGAGTGCAAAGGCTACTAGCTAGTGGCCTTTTACTACAGGACACAAAGGTGTACTTCCAATTCTTGCTGCATTGAGGTCTCAGTCAGTCTGTCTGAGGTACAATAGAGCATTAGGGGACATTCACACAAAGCAGGTTCTTGTATTCCACCTGCCATATTTTGAACATTTTGGACATATTTGGCCATCTTATGCTTTCAGCGTCTCGCACCATGAGCGCCGTGTTCTTAAGACTGTGTTAAGTTACATTTTTAAAAGTCAAGACTCCTGCTTTGTTCTATTCTTCTCACTCCGTTGAGCTGGTGACTCATTCTGCGCTGCTGCTGTCTGTAGTGCCTGCTGGAGCAGGTGTGACTCATGACAAATCATGAAGGTGCTATTTCAAGCTTGAATTGGTCTGATCATATCTATAGCTCTGATGTAAAATTCCTAATTACTTGTGGGTCATGATTCTTGCATAACTATTTACATATTCATTTTTACAGCCATTTTTATAAATAATAAATTAGATATAATTATTGCATTATATCCACCTTATTTTTAACAACACAGCCATTTGTAACCAAAAACGGTGCTTGATATTGCAGCTTGTATTTGTTATCACAAAAATATTTTAATTTATTATTGCAATCAAATTATTGGTTTATAAATAGTTTTGCCATGCACTGCATTTGGATATGCTTCTACTTATTTACCTACAGTGGCTAATGAATCAGAAAACGCAGCTTACTTCCACATTGCAAAATAAGAAGGATAGAGTGTACAGTCAGCTTTTATTAAATATATGTAATACCTAATGAAAATCTGTAAAATGTTGAGTATGTTGCATGCTTCTTAGCTGTTAGATGTTAGTGTTAGATGTTGTGGTGTCTTGTTTGATACCAAGAATTGTATCCATGTTTTTCTAAATCATTTTGTAGAAGTAAATCAAACATACTGATCTGTGTAAAATGAAAAAAAAAAAAAGATAAAAGGCATCTGAACTTTTAAATTATTTTTAGGTACACTTTAATGTTCAGTCACAATTGGTAAAAAGTGTTTTATTTCTTATTTGTGCAAATGTAACCATCTCTATGATAAAAGTGACTTTTCTTTCATTGTGTCTGTCTTGTAATGTAGGCATGTAATGAATCCAGTCCAGTAATGTGGAAATGACCTCAGAAAAGAGTTTACCGCTTCAGTGGGTGTAACTGAATTAAGTTCTTCCGTAAATAAAACATAATTATCTGATCTGCAAAAATGTGATGTGATGGCAAAAGTTCAAATAGGTAACTGACTGAATATATCTGTAAATATATATCAGCCATCTTCTAAAAGTTACCAACATTTATTTTGCTCTTGTACACTAATAACTAATACATATGATCAATTTAAATACATCCAACAATTTTAATTCAAAAGGTTTCACAGTATTTATCGGTCAAGGTTCATTAATTTATTAAAAGGTGTGGGAACTCTTATAGTGAGCCTGCAGATGCTGTATTGCGATGCTTTCTTGTTGTTACTCTGTTATAAGCATGCCTTCGGTTCATTCTCAGGAGCGTCTCTGTTCTCCAACATACCTGGACATCGTCTTGGCTGCTACTTCTGTAACGATGTGGTCGCCCCTGGAGACGTGAGTTTTAATCAAGCACTTTCATTGCTGAAATTAGGTTTTCCTCAAGACACGTATTATATTATAAAATCAAATGTGTAGCGGAAACCAATCAGTCATATGCTAAAGTGACCTCAATGGACGCCTTGTGCTGGAAATCATATCCTACAGCAAAATATGATTGAGCACAGTCTCCGACTGAGTTGATCCATCACCGAAATGAAACATTTTTACAGACTGAGAAATGTATATTTTTGCTTTCGGTGATTTGTCTTTACTCGAAGCTGTTAGTGAAGTCTTGTTTTGTTGGTAGTCCACCAGAGACAGAACTCTGGACCAGCAGTGCACTGTGAGCCGTCCTGGTCTGGCCATGATCGCCGGAGCCCTGGCCGTGGAGCTGATGGTCTCTATACTCCAGCACTCAGAGGGGTGAGTGCCTCAGCTTCACACATCTGCTGCTGTGAACCCTGCTGCGCTTCCATCCACATAGTGTGCTAGAGCAGGATTCACTGCCGCTGCAGTTCTGTATGAACTTAACAGCTGGACACTTTCCTGGGCCATTTTGTAGTATAAATAGTGTGTTCACACTGGAATTTCAACAAGAAGAAGTGCACTCCAAATACCCAGGTGGTGCTTTTAAATAACTGAAGAAAAAAAAAACACAGTGTGCACTGCTGGACACTTCATGCATGCACTCAACTGTTGCAGCGTTCTTTATGTAGCAGAATGAAAGAGCCCAGGGTCTAAAATTAACTCTCATCAAGTGCGAGTAAAAAATGCGAGTATAAAACGGTGTTACTTAGTTGGCCAGTATATTTTTTATGAATTCTCACAATGACTGCCTATCCTAATCGTCATATAACATGCATTTGAAAATGGAACATGCGCCAAACATGTTCCCTAGTTTGAGAAGTTGGTTTATAAATTTAATAAGAAAAAAAAACAACCATGATATTGGTATTTTAATTGCATTGTTATTACTATTATTATACAGTTTAGTAGTATTACTTTTTAAATTATTTACTTTGTTATAATTCAATTTACATACTAATAATAATAATATTAATGATAATTGCAATGTGTAACGATAGAGGCGTCGTGACAACGAAGTGGGGATCCAATTGCAGGCTTTATTAAAAAGAGCGTAGTCAGGACAGGCAGGGTCAGACACCAGCAAACAGTAACATCCAAGGTACAGGCAAAAGAGTAATCCAACAAGACAGACAATGGTCAGGGCAGGCAGCAGTCAATCAAAAACAAGGTAACAGTCCAACGATCAAAACACAAGAAAGGCAAAACTTAGGAACATGGAAACTAGGAAACACGGAGGGGCTAAACATAGAACCACCAGCGAAGACAGAGAGTATGTGTGCTACTGTTAAAGTCCATCTAATGGGAGACAGCTGTGAACTGATGATGAGATCTGATGAGAGACAGGTGATGCAATTGATGAGTCCGTGCAAAGGATTATGGGAAATGGAGTCCTGGGTACAATGGCAAGAGTCTGGCCCCCCCACCAAGTCTTATAATAGACTAAAATCCAGGAGGGAGGTGGAGTGAAGGCGGAACGGGGGAGGGATGAAGGGCCAGGTCCATGTTGAAGTGGAGGAACAAATAACTGAGGCAGAGCCGGCGGAGCAGAGAGCCAAGGCAAAGCCAGCGGAGCAGAGAACCAGGGCAAAGCTGGCGGAGCAGGGTGCCAGGGCGAAGCAGTAAGCCAAGGCGGAACCAGTGGAGCAGATAGACAGGGCAGAGCCGGCAGAGCAGAGTGGCAGGGCGGAGCAGGCGGAACTGAAGACCACCAGAGCGGAGCAGAAGACCACCAGAGCAGAGCTAAGAACCACCACGGCGGAGCAGGCAGAGTTGAAGACCACCAGAGCAGAACTGAGGACCACCACGGCGGAGCAGATGGAACTGAAGACCAACAGAGCGGAGCCGAGAACCATCACAGCGGAGCGGGTGGAGCCGAAGACCACCAGGAATGAGCAGAAGACCACCAGAGCAGAGCTAAGGACCACCACGACGGAGCAGATAGAGCCGAAGACCACCAGGGCGGAGCTGATGGTGCAGGATACCAACAAGGCGGATCAGGCAGAACTGGAACATAGAGCACAGAGAGGTTAACAATGGCCTCAGCGGCCATAGCAGGACTGGCATACAGTTCAGAAACAGCATTATTGGCCTTAACAGGGCGAGCAGAGAGTTCAGGGGCAGCCCTTTTGACCATGGCTGGACAGTCAGAGAGTTCAGAAACTACCTCTTTGGTCGGAACAGGACAGACTAAGAGTTCAGAAACTGCCTCCCTAGCCGTGACAGGACAGACAGAAAGTTCACAGGCGGCCTCCATAGCTGTGACAGGATAGGCAGAGAGTTCACAGGTGGCCTCCATAGCCGTGACAGGACTAGGCATGGGCCGGTATGAGATTTTGACGGTATGATAACCTTAAGCAAAAATATCACGGTTTCACGGTATCACAGTATTGTTGTTACAGCTCTAAAATTTGTTATTTTTAAATGTCTGGGTAAAAAAACAAAACAAAAAAAAATACATTTTTCCACTGAACACAATATATTTTATTTTTGAGCAACATACAGAATATTTGGAACAGCAGTATTTGTTTATTTTTTCTTTGATTTGTTTCTGAAATGTTTGCTGAATTGTGGGCTGTCTTGCAGCTTTTGATGTGAAAAAGAAAAAAAGAAGGAAAATAAAGACTGACATCTTTGTTTAACCTAAATCTGTAATTACAGTTATTTAATTTTAGTTATATAATTCATATACATATCATTTATATAATTTCATATCATT